GATTACATTGTACATGTGAGCTTGTGATCATAGGTCGGAAGTTGAATATGTTTAGAGAATAGCTCTGCCAAATATATCCCTGTGTCTGAAGCAGGAATCTTGATAAAAGACTCGTGTGTGAACTTGAGGCTGACTTATGGACTACATGTGTATTTTATATATGGTGTGTCCTCCCCCCGTAGTGCAAACATTTACCGTCCCATTTTCAACATAAGCTGCCAACTACTTACTACTTGCATGTTTTTCTTTTAAAAATGACACATTCTATTTGCATTTGGCAATCCAGCTGTACCTTTATCCACCAGTAACCAGAAGTGCTCAACACTGATTTAGCGCCACCATTCAGTGACAAGGGGCACTGTACCCAGTGCTGTCCGAATCTCCCTTGATGTCATATTATTCAGGTGATATGCACGTTGGTTATTTCCAGTGATGAAAACCAGAAGGTTGCACAATTCACAAGTTTGGTGGCCAGTGTTTCTGAGCAGATCCTGTCTCATGAAAGGGTTACCAGTTTGATTGACTCTGAGTTCTGTATTTGAACAAACAGCAACCACAGATACAATTGAGATGAGCAAGATGATGGGGGAGGCAGGAGCGGACGCACTGCTGGTCATAACTCCGTTCTACTTCAAAAACATGATGACCTCTGAGGCACTTATCAACCACTTCACAAAGGTGCCTGCACTGGAATCTTGTCCATGAATTCGTTTTCTGTGCCTTAGTTGTTTTTTTTCTCAAACTCCACCCTATTTCAGGGCCTTTTTCAGGTTACACGTCTATATCACATGATCAGATCTTTCATTGAGAGGCATTGTGTGGATGGAAGCACAATACATGTACATGTAGGTTTATTTGACATCAACACTGGTACCTGATTGACCCTAACCCCTTAGGCCTTTTTATTAGGAACCATCCTGAATCCGACGAAATCCTCCGATTTTCAATATAAAAAAATTGCATTCAGCCAAATCCTCCAAGATCCTCCGAAATTTCTTGAAAATGTCATTTGGAGGTATGCCTAACTGCCCAAATCCTTCAAAATCCTCCGGCAATTCCTGTCATTATGTTGAGGCAGCGCAAATGGCACTCTTGAGCTGTGCAGCTGATTCAAAAGAAATATCGGGCTACATTTGTGTTTGACTAAGCACAAACACAAAAGGTCTAAGCCATGACCGTCACGTATGGCATCCTTCAAAATCAGCCATGCACTTTTGCCATACACCCTGAATCCTCCAAATTCCTCCACTTTGCAGAAAGGGATTTCGGAGGATTTGGGTTAATGAAGAAAGTATTTGGGTTTTGGAACGGTCAGTCAGAATTTCTGAAGTAAAGCAGAAAAAAAAATGAAACTGGCTTCCTGCTATTTTCAGTTGGGTGTCGGGAGAGTTGTCGAAGCCCTTATATGCATGTAAAGCAGACCTTTCCTCTGTGTATTCAATGCAGGTGGCAGATAATTCTCCGGTACCAGTGGTTTTGTACAGTGTACCAGCTAACACTGGCCTTGACCTGCCAGTGGAGGTCGCTGTTGAACTCTCCAAACACCCAAACATCATCGGAATGAAGGAAAGTGGAGGAGACGTAAGGATTTAGTTACTTCCTTCCCCCCTCCCAGCAAAAATTTAGTTCAAGTGCTGAGCACCAAATCTGGGTGATCTGTAGTTATTTCACATTTGACACCATGCACGTCCATACTGTATATAATCCGGTATCATTTGAGCAGTGCTTGAGAGCATTTTGAGATACATGTATGGATTATTGCCTGTCATGGAATTGTACAGAGGGACAAATCGTACCTGCCATATATAGAATACCGAAGTGAATATGTCATGCGCACGGTTATATGTGTAAAAGGCATAAACGCGAGACCCATCGCGTGAACCAACACGGGCACGTACTCCATTTGTTTGCACTACAATGTCTGGTTCAATGTGACGTCACACTTTGGTACTCTATAACCCGGATAGCCTAAGTTTGTGGAATGTGTTTTCTTTAACTTAAAGCTTGCCAGTAGTTCATTGAGTGCAGTCATTAGATTAGGTAATACACTGCAGATAGTGTCAGTTTCCAGTCAACGTTTTCCTGGGAATGATGTACATGATGTGGCAAGCCTTTTTAGGGAAGTTCTTGGAACATCAAGGTGGTGAGAAGGATTTTAGACAGATGCCAAATGAGAAACAGGCACATAGGTTAATTGTTCAGCTTGGCTCTTCCAATTTTTAAGAAGAAAGTCCCAACGTGCCAATAATTAAAACTTTCTTAGGAGATGTATTTTAGTGTAGCTGTAGGTGTTCCTCTGTAGATTTACCTTGAGAATGAATAGGCCTAATGATGATCGCTTCTCAGAAGACACATGGTATCCAGGAACGTATCTAAGGAAATTCCTAGGTTCCTGTCCATTTATGGAATCTTTGAAATTAATAAATGCAATTACCAGCAATGTTTCTATTAATATGGATCTACATTTATTGATAAAAATACAGTGCAAATTACTATATATAAATGCTTGGATATAATGTGGATAATTATATCTACCACCATAAATAAAATGCAAATGACTAAATGGGTCATTCTATAAATTTGGGGTTCAGTTTTTCTTGTTGTCCCTGTCACATCTGACATGTGATTTTTGGCAAGCTGCAAAGCAAGTGCGAGCGTAATACCGATTTCCGTCTTCTGTCCATCCGGCCAGCCGTCCACCCTCAAATGTTAAATTTTTTCCTTGCAGGTCCATAGGTGTTAAAATGTGCCACTGAGTGCTTGTTTGCTCTTCTTGGAATTCCATTGGTATTTAAATGGTCTCATCTGGCATTAACGCTTAGAAACTTATGAATATAATGAAAAAATTATAAAAGTTGAATGTTAAAGTTTTGAGTGTTATTGTGTACTTACCCTGTGGTGCATAGAGTATACACGTGTATGTACTGAGCACTCCCGTAATGTACATGTATGTATGGAAAGACAGC